TTTTTGTTAAGCTCGCGAAATTAAATTCTCGTGGGTCTAACGCAAATTTCTAGATAAATCGATGGGATTTTGATTTCAAAGCTCTGGTTAATAACAGTGATATATATTTTGAGGAAATTTTCCAATAATCGCTGTAGGCGGATTTAATTTCTCAAATATTAATTTAGTACAAGTGTTTCTGGTTGAAATTATTTATTTTGTGCATTTGTACTATTTACGTCGATTGACGGATTTCTTTGATAGCTGTTTTGAACACTTTGATGAAAACGTCTCTACAATAAGGAATTATTTTTGGAATAACTGTGTAGGAGGTTAGTACTCAATTATTACAAAGTAAAATTTGCGTTACCCATTAATTTAAAATTATTTAAATTTACTAATAATAAATAGAAAGTTTTCTTTAATGCTAAATAAAGGTTTTCCTATTTTTTTTAGACGTTTATTTGGGTACCGGTTCTGATTTCAAGAACGATAAATTATTGTTTCCAACTGCTGGTAGAACAATTGAACTGTAAAACATAATTTTGTGATTGAAACAAAATACCAAGAGGCTTTTTATTGTGGATTTGGCTGAGAGGGAATTCGAACCTTTTAAAATAAGTACCCCGCTGTGGGAATCATTTTATTATTATTTCTTTTCTATAAATAGTATTTAAGTTTAGTTATTCTACATTATTAACTGTGTAACTGGTTTTGGGATAGAGTTATTTTTGGGGTTTAAGTTTGTCTTGATTCCCAAAATCAGCTACTCTTGCAAGAGTTTAGGGCAATCTTAATTTTATTATAAATATTGAAGAAAAGTTAATATATATTTTTTTTGGCTTTATTGAAATTCTACCTCTTATTATTTATTTTTACCCTTACATAAGAAGTCTCACTAAAGAGAGTAAATTTAGTAATTTTTTATTGTCTTTAAATTTTCCATCGCCGCTCAAATTACTTGGCACCGGGTTAAATAATCATTTTCTTTAAATTTGTATATGAACCACCCCATATACTGAGCTGAGCTAGGCACTTATAACTGTTATTATTTTATGCAGCAAAAGAAACGTAACACCATTTTCGAATAAATGTCCGCGAATATTTAGACCTTGAATTCCCCAGACGCTGGGTCTACCCAGCAGGTCCAATAGCATGATCACCTCGTTTCACAGACTGCACCCCGTTGGATTTCTTTTTATGGAGCTTTGTTAAAAGCCTGGTGTATGCTGCAGGACCAGTTCCTTCCTACAAGAAAAAATATTTAATGTCTTCGAAGAATGGATGGTTGTATCGCCGCAGGAGGCAACCATTTCAAGCATTTGTTATGAAAATCTGCTTTTCTATGTATGTGTTACTTAGGATAAGTTATATTTTTAAAATAAATTAAAGAAATTAAAAGAATTCATTAATTGATGTGAATTTATTACTTGTTCTAATAGGGCCAGGCACAGATTTTTTTCTTAGAAACAAAGCTAGATACGAGTAAAGCTCAAGAGGCAAGAAAGTTACATTAATCTAAAAAAAAATTAATTGTCAAAAAAGCAGTGACGTATCATAATTTTACCTATAGGTATCAAGTAAGTAGCCGCCTGATACACCACTGGAATTATTAAATTTATTTTATTCTCACCGAAGGGAGGTTCTTATTACGAAAAATAAACTATCAAATTTTATTTAAATCGGCTGAAAGGTTTTTAGGTAATTGAATAAAAACCGATTTTTTCTTTAAACCTTTGACGATGAGAAGAAAACGAAGCAAGTTAGGACATACGATTATATGAAATTTTTTTCTTATTTTTGGCTGGTAAATACACCCTTAAAATCTTTCATTCAATTTTGAATCACCCTGTATATTCTGTATGCAAATAAGGAAAGTATAGGATAAACAGAAAACTACAAAATTTTAAACATATTCTATAATCCATCCTGCAGTGAACTAATTAGATTTTGGGCATAGTCGGAACATCTGGGCGGGGTACTTTATAGAAGTCATTTTTTTACTTTATGGAATATATCTATATAAACATAAGGGATGTATCATCCCTAATAAAAATGTCTAAACTGCTTTTTCAATAGTTTATTTCACGATCAAGTATTTTCAATTACAATGTTGCTGTGGTATTGCCACTGTCTATTCGCGTACTGCCCACTGCGCTGGTCTGCCTTCTCCCGCTCGTCCATCCTGACACGCATGTATATGGACTTCAAGAATGTGTGGTGGGAAACAGAGGAACACCGCTAACACGGCCATCCTGCAATTGGTGCGTCCTCGTGCCACATATATCTGGAATTACAAAATACGAAAACAGAACTACTGTTACGACTTATGAACATTATCACTAATTTTCTTTTTCAACGCTAAACGATTAATTACTCTTTAAATTAATGTTGGTGGGATTGCCACCCTAACACTAAACACTAGTGCTACAACACCAAACACTGGTGCTACTTTATTATCATAATTTATTCAGGAAAATTTGGTGGGATTGCCACCCTAACACTAAACACTAGTACTACAACACTAAACTCTAGTGCTATAATACCAAACACTGGTGCTACTTTAATATTATGATTTCTTTAATTAAATTTGGTGGGATTGCCACCCTAATACTAAACACTAGTGCTACAACACCAAACACTGGTGCTACTTTATTATCATAATTTATTCAGGAAAATTTGGTGGGATTACCACCCTAACACTAAACACTAGTGCTACAACACCAAATACTGGTGCTACTTTATTATCATGATTTATTCAGGAACATCTGGTGAAATTGCCACCTCAAGTAAACAAAAACATTTTTTTTAATTTAATATTGTGGGATTTCCACTCACCTTTTTTTATAATTACTGCGATGACGGTAGCCTCAACTGATCGTGAGCAGCTACTGTTGTTCGTTGTCGCTTTTTGTGAAGTTGATATATTTCATGTGGTATAATACCTCTCGAACAGTGTAAAGGCCCTTTTCATTTGGGCCCCAGTTTTCTTCCACCTGCGAACTGTGAATCTTCAATAGCCACAATATCACCTGGCTTATAATCTGGCCCGACGCCTAGTATCATTGAATCGTTGACCTTGGTTTGGCGGTCAGGAGTTTTATTCTTGTAAAATGTTAAAAGTTTCTTCACTTGTATTTTTAAAGTGTCTTTTAATTCTAATTGAGTAATTTTCATATCGTTCAATTTTTTAATGTAAACATTTTCGGAATGTTGAGCAGGTCTTGATGTAACTCAATCGTGTTGACGTTTTTCTCAACACCTAAACAAGGTCGGCATATGACATTGCTTCCAATAATAATGTCAAGTCAACATCTTCAGGAATCACATTATTTGGAACGACCTCTAACGTAATAGTCGGCAAAATCATAAGATCGATATTTTAAACATCGTGAGATCCAATTCACGAGGTTCAGGATTTTCGTCTGCCATTATCACTAGCACTAACTTTTAGTTAAATTACTAATTATAGTCTATTAGCCGCGGTACGCGTAGTGATCCCACTTCTGATATAAACATAAGTGATGTATCATCCCTAATAAAAATGTCTAAACTGCTATTTCAATAGTTTATTTCACGATCAAGTATTTTCAATTACAATGTTGCTATGGTATTACCACTGTCTATTCGCGTACTGCCCACTGCGCTGGTCTGCCTTCTCCCGCTCGTCCATCCTGACACGCATGTGTATGGACTTCAAGAATGTGTGGTGGGAAACTGAGGAACATCTATTATTTAGGCTGTGTTGTTATTCTCTATAATTCTTGTCCTATACATGATTTTCCTAAAAGGGGTCGTATTCGAGAAATTTGAGAAAAATACAAATCTAGAATTTTGAAGATAACTGAAAAACGATTAAAGAGAAAAACACCCAATTTTAAACTTAAGCTTTAATCCATCCTGCGGTGAGCCGATTAAATTTTAGGAATAGTCGAAGCATCTGGGAGGGGGGGTACTTTATAGGGTGTCGATTTTTTACTTGGAGAATATCTGTTACTTACGATTGAAAAGGAAAATTCTTCAAATGAAAGTTGTATATAATTTTTGCTATATACCGTGCTATATACATTATTTCTCTAAAATGGTCCGTATTCAAGAAATTTGACATAAAGTGGAAAATTCGAATGTTTAAGAAAATTGTTCGAACAAAATTTAATTGTGATCTAATCTCTATAATGTTTGTTATATGCATGATTTCCTTAAAAAAGGACCGTATTCGAGAAATTTTACAGTTTGATAAAATTTTTAAAAAAATGGAATTTTTAAGAAAATTATTCAAATAAAAGTTGCTTACAATGTCATTCTCTATAATTTTTGTCCTACACATGATGTCTCTAAGATGACCTTATTTGAGAAATTTGAGGTAAAGTGCAAAATTCGAATTTTAAAGATAGGATAAGATAAGATAAGAAGAAAAACGAATAAAGAGAAAACATCAAATTTTAAACTTAAGCTTTAATCCTACGGTGGGCTGATTAAATTTTAGGCACAGTCGAAGCATCTGGGGGGTACTTTATAGAGTGTCGTTTTTTTTACTTTAAGGAATATTTCTGTTATTTACGATTGGAAGAGAGAATTCTTTAAATAAAAGTTGTTTGCCATATAATTCTCTATAATTTTGTTCTATAGATGATATCTCTAAAATGAACGTAATGAAAAAATTTGTAAAATTTAAATTTTTTAATATTTTCATTGGAAATTAATATACAGGGTGTTTCCTAACTACGGTACGAAACTATCCCAAAAATACAACCCTACCAAGTCAATACGTTAAATAGTAGCAAAAAATACTGCAAAAAAAGCGAAAATACATTTTAACTTTAACACACTCTACCTCATTAGTAGATAATAGTTGACCCGGTTTTATTGAGCAAAATATTAATATTTTAAAGTCTTGAACTTAGATTAAAAAATAAATCCCGTAAATTTACAAGAATCATTTGGTCAGTCAGTCAAAACATTATTTTTTTATGTACATTTAGATATAAATAATATGATAATTATTAACGTAATTTTATATACTTAGATTTTATTAATTATATATCATCAAGTGTGTGAAATTTAGACGTGTAAGTACTAATTTACTTACGTGTAAGTCGGAATTTCCTAAATAATTCTAGGTCATCTATTAAAATTGGTAAACTTTATTACCCCTATAAATTGATAATTACCGCAATTTAATAAAAGTAATTAAATTCGACATTCGATCAAACAAGGTTTACATAGTTTTGTCTTGATTTTTGTTCCTAATTATTTCAAAAATAGATAAATTGAAAAAAGAATGCATAATTATTATTCATTGACACAATTTATTTGTCAAATCATCACATCCATATTCAAATAAGGCACGATAAAAGAAAATTATTTATCTAATATTAGCAACTCGAACATCTAAAATTGTATATACAGTGTATCCCCGAATAAGTGAATCGACTCTTAACAGTTTTAGGGAATTTTCTGATTTTATTTTCGAAAAAAATCAATTTTTGATTAGTACAGTTCATCAAATTTCTAGAGGTGTTCGACGCCCAGACAGAGAACGCGCTACGTGTGACTAAGATAGCTATTGTACAGTCTGCTAAACAAGTTATTTTAAATAGTTTTTAATATTTTTAGGTAATTAAATTTTAAAAGTGTGGAATAGTTTAGGGATTAAATTGGTCTGATTGGACTTTCTTAGAACGTTTTTAAAAGCAGCTAAAGATAGTATGTAGAATTGTAAATAATTATTATGCCATAAAAGGTGTTTTGGAATTCCTTCAACGTTTTGAAATTGAGTCAGAAAATATAAATTTTATAGGATAGCGGAAAATACCTATAATTTTTTTGTAAGCCTTTGTAAATCGTGGAAATAGTTTATATTTTATTTCTACCTTATTAAGGAAAATGGTACCTATTATTAATAACGGTTGTTTCTGAAACATTACTAAAATTTTCGAAATTTTGTTTTTCTACAAAATAATAAACTATACTATTTAGAAAAAAATTTATTTCTCTTATAATTTTATAAAAAATAACAGGGGAATATTTACATTTCTTGATCTATTAAACAAAACGATAAATTATCTCGACGAATGACACCATGTTCTAATACGGAAGCTAGCTTTACATTTTTGTTGGTGATTTCATGGGTTTCATATCAATTTTTTGTAATTGTAGTTTACACGTACATATACCTCCTAACACTTGTTTGCTTTATTAAAAAAGTTTGTTATTGTGATTTACGTCGAAATAAGTCAAAAACAACTTGAAACCCCATATAAAATCAAAAAGGAGAAACGGAAAAAAATTGAGCCTGTAAATGAACACAACTCAGAAAAAAAAATAGCTATCTAATAATAAAAAAATAAAATTTGATTCTTGTGCAGCTTCATCTATATCATTAACTGTTTTTGGTTTTTTAATGGTTTTTCTTGGTGATGAAAATTCCGATATCTCACGGTTATCGATTCTTTTTTTCTCTCCAGAAATGCGGACGACAGTGTTTTTAGATACTCCTGTGGCTGCAGCAACACGATCATTTACATTTTTAAATGGTATTGAAGGTGAATTAAAGTTTCCTTCTCTTCTCATAAACTCTATAACATTGGCTATTATTTCGCGATATTGACTGTTAATGACGCGGCCTCTTAATTTGCTATTAAACTCCATACTTAGGTTCTATTAAACTGTAATGAGCAAAAAACACAAATGAAAATAAAAGAAATGTTTTAGCGAAATTTACATCTGACATTTACGTCTGAATGAAATAGTGAAATACTTGATGCGCAGAGTGTACTTTCATTGCGTAAATCCGTCGGGATGCCTCTCAGTAGTGCTTTCTCTGTCTAGCCGTCGAAAGCCTCTAGAAATTTGATGAACTGTAGTGTACCTAAGATTTGCACCGCATTTCAATTGTTTCTAGTACTGCTTGTTACATCGGCTCAAGCAGAAAGAACATTTTCAAAACTGAAACTAATAAAAAGTTTTGGAAGATCGACAATGAGTAAATCGCGCCTAAGTTCATTGGCATTAATTTCTATAGAAAATTAACGGGCAGAAGGTATAAACTTGGACCAAATAGTTAATACATTAATTTGTTGCTTTACACACAAAAAAATAGTTTTCTTCTTTATTTAAACCAATCTGAAATGCGATTCAAATCATAATAATAATAATAATAATAATAATATTTTTAGAGTTTCATTTGTTTAGTTTTGTTACAGTTTTGTGTTAGTAATGTTTATTAAATAAAGTTAATATATCTTATGTTCTGTAGTTTTTCAAACCTAAAACAGAACTCATATTGGCCATGTACTATAGATGGAATTTGGTATGTTAATGACGCTATGAATTTTATTAATTAGAATTCTTATTCTTTAAAAAGTCGAAAGAAAAAAATCAAAATATAAAGGTGAGGTCACACCAAATTTTTTCTATCTATAAACCGATTTGAAATATCACCCTAGACAGTAGTTTCATTGTCACCCAGTATAGGCAGTATATTAATTTTTTTGATGTAGAGGGGCGGCCCTTGAAAAAAATGGCGGGGACGCCACTGGGCCATCCATTTCTTCATGATAGTCTTGTTTTCTTTGACTCGAACATTAATAAACCATCTGTCAAAAATCAATCGGTGCTTCCAATCTGGGTTATTATTAAACGATATTCTTTTCCTGTTGGATTCCTTAATTCACAAGTGAGCGTGTAACGGCCGACCCCCTGTACCCCATTTGATCGTTGTTTCACTCTCTGAAATGTTATTATTTACCTCACAAGTTTATTTTACTTTAAATTCTATACTTACTGTATTTGGCCTTTTTCCTCTAGTAGTAGAAGTGATCGTCTAGTTAATTAATTGATAATTTTTATAACCATGTTGTGATAATTTTCATTAAGGTAAACCAGGATTTAATGCAAAGTTTGGTGCAAATAGATAAATAAAACCAGACAAATTTGTTTAAACTCTTTTATTTTTCATACTTTAAATGTGATGCAATAATTAGCAAAGTATATTAATATATGAACTATTTACTGAGATCTTACTTGAGTCCCGTTCAAACGCAGACCGCGTTTATTTGCTATCAAGCGTCAATTCGCCAGTTGATTAACTACCGTGTTGATGTTGATTTGATTCTATTCTAGATATACACAGATTGTACCCTCTTAGGTAAATATTTCGACGAGTATAAAGGTGATGACCAACAGAAGTAGCGAACAGCGCCAATTCGCCAGTTGCTTACCTTACTATGTTGATTTCATATATACTTTGTTTCAAACCTTGTAGAATGGGTGGCTTAGCATATAGGTGCCCTCACCCCCCCCCCCCCCCCCCCCCCCCTTGAGCTTACAGTTAACCAACTGGTGAATAAGTTGGTTAACTTACTGTTAAATTTTACTATCTTGATTTGTACAATTTATCCAAGATAGCACATCCCTGTATATTTCTAAAATATAGATTTTTATCATTTCTATTGAAATGACTTAATACAACCCTGTATATTTTTTAATATTGATTATTATAATTTCTATTAAAATAACTTAATACAACCCTGTATATTTCTTAATATTGATTTTTATAATTTCTATTGAATTAACTTAAATTCACCCAAAAACAGATGACTAACCTAACTGTCTTTCGGGGTGAACGACTGAAGGCCATATGGTTTATTGGTTACATTGATAATATTTTAAAGAAAATGTTAGGCACTTATCTAAATGGCCCCGGTGGTATCTCAAAGAAAGTTACATAAATCTTTTTGACTCACCATCGAAAATACAGACATTAGATTATGTACTAATTTCATCCAGCGTTGTGCCGGCGTCGAGTTAGGTACGTCGCAGCGTTGAGCGTCGCTTTGCGTTGAAGTGGAGAGGAAGGTATTTAATACGGTACTGCATTGGAACAGATATACGGTAGAAATATTTAGGTGGTGCGGGACGTGACGAAGGGTGTCGACAAGGATATTTATTATGAAGGAAATATTTAGGGGCGGCAAGCGTCGAGAAGTAGAGCGATGGGACGTTGGGCATCAGAATAAATGTAAGGTAGGAAATACTTAGATGGTGTGGAATGTGACAGCGTTCGAGACAGGGAAGTAGGGCGTCTCGATGTTGAGCGTCAGGATGAATATAATGGTAGGAAATACTAAAGTATAAAATGTCTACCTCTTGAACTTGTACTATGTTCTGAAAATTAAATTATTGCACTCATTTCTTCTCTAGACTATACATAGACAACTAGCTTTGTAATTAGGTTCTTTCAGTGTTTGTCAGTGTCAAGAAACCTTGAAAAGAATACCAGGTCAGTAACTGGTCAATAACCTTTCTTATCGAAGAAACTAAAATATAGTTATGAATTTATAATTTTTAAGTTTTGGTAAGTGTTTTAAAAACTAATTGATTTATATAAGAAAAAAAAACGAACTCAAATGTGACTAAGACGTAAAATAAAATAAAAATAACTCAATGCCAGTGTCTTATAATAATATGAGCAACCGTTTCGCCCTTTGGCTAATTTTTTTACGCGAAAATGTTGCGTCCTACCAAAGTAAGTGTGAGGACCAAATTTTATCCAAAATAAAGGAGAATTGATTTTAAAAATAATTTTGGTTTTTAAAAAAAGTAGTGGCGTACTATTTTTTTCTTCAAAATTATTCAGTTCAAACCCCATATGGACCTCACTGGTAAAAATTTAAAAATCTTTTACGTCAAAAGATATTCCTTAATGATTAGAAGTTGTGTACAAAATTTTATAAAAATACCTGGAGTGATAAGAAAATTATGATAAAAGTTATTTTTTCTTAAAACTGTAACACTCTGTAGCTCAAAAATTAAGAGGTTTACGACATATGTTGATATTAACTTTTCTTCTTAATCACCCCATAATTCACACTATTAAGTATCGACACTCAATTTCTACCATTTATTTATAATTAAAAGAACTATCAGTCGCTAATAGAACTTTTTCTACCATTTTCCTAAGAAAAATTTAAAGAGTTTGAAAATTGCGAGAGTTTCTTTATCGCTGCATTTTTAAAGTTTATAAAGAAAAAATTAAAAATGAATTAAAATCGCATAAGATATAAGT